CTGTGATGTTCCACATCATGCTCCAGTAGTTCTATACTTATACAATACACTCACCTGTGATGTTCCACATCATGCTCCAGTAATTCTATACTTATATGATACACTCACCCGTGATGTTCCACATCATGCTCCAGTAGTTCTATACTTAAATAATACACTCACCTGTGATAATCCACATCATGCTCCAGACTCCATCAGTTCTATACTTATACAATACACTCACCTGTGATGTTCCACATCATGCTCCACTAGTTCTACACTTATTCAATACACTCACCTGTGATGTTCCACATCATGCTCCAGGCCACCTCCATATTTTCGTCACATTGCTCCAATGCCAGTTTTCTTTTTATAATTTTCAGCATGGCCTACGTATAAGTATAAAACTAATTTTATTTCATAATTATTATTATTTTCATAATGAACCATTCTTTACTAGTGAGATAATTTGATAATGAATTTTATTTTTAAAATACAAAACCTTTGCAATGGCTTTGTTAAAAAAAAAATCTGAGTCTGTGAGGACAATTGAACCAAAGTAATATACTCTGGGCTTTGATCAAAGATACTTTCAAAAGAATTACAAAGACAAAATATTGCTCTCTCTCTCTCTCTCTGCGAACCTCTATAGCCCCCAGCTCTCCGAATGTCAGTTTTTCCTCCCCGTCCACCTGGCAAGCAATACAGTTCAACAGAATAATTCCCAGCCTCTGAATGAATTCTTCCTGTGTCTCAGAGGCAACGACCTCCATCAAATTCTTGGTCATACGCCGATGACAGAAGGTCTTAAATTAAAAACAAGAGGCGTAAGGTCTTAACAATTACCGGTACTTGAGTTATTTCTTTTCAAAGATGATTAATCTAAGGGGAATAACTTCTCTCAAACTAGAGAAAAAAATTCCTTATATGATCAAAGAAGCCCTTCCCTAGCACAAGAACCCCATACCCAGTGTTTGTGAATTTCACATATCTGATTAAAACATCTTTGCTCATTTCAACTATGTACTTGGATTGCTGCTACATGCCTATGGAACAGAGAATAGGTTAAAAAAATCACGCATTTTTCACCATATGATCAGTAGGGTCATGGCCTAAGACCAGAACCCCTGACTCTGCAGGGTTCAAAATTAACTTTTATTACCAACAGGAAATTTTAGCTAGTGGCAAATGTATTTACAAGCAAAATTGAAAATTCACTAGCAATTTTCAGAAATTATTCAATTGGGGTAAATTCATTGAATCCAGTGCAAAAAAATAACTGCAGTGTTTTTGTGGGGTGGGTGGGTTAGAGGTGTGGGGACTGGGGCCCATAGAATTGAGAATTTCAGTGTCAATTAGGCTAAATTGGAATTTCAAGAAAATCCCTGTCATATGAGAAGCAATTTCAAATATTTATATTACTTTGACAAACAACTCAAGAATATTTCAAGTATGAATTATCTTATAACTTACATCAAGAACAGCAGTGGTATGAGTTATCTATCCAAAATGGCAGACCAACAAAATATTTCTGCTTGAGTTTATACTTTATTAAGAAACATGAAATAAACAAACTGACTGTGAATACATTTCTTTGGGAAAACTTTCAATATATTTTGAGAAAATACAGGTTTATTCAATTGGGACTGCTGCCAAATATCGGCCCCAGATCAGCCCTAAAAATCATGGCAAGCAGTCATTCAAACACTTTTAATTTATATAGGTAAAAACCCCAAACTGGAACTTATGGATAAATTTTGCTAGTTTTTAATGTGACAACTCACTAAGATGAATTTTATGGTCGCATTTAGCGAGTATTTCCACTTAATTTTGAACCTTGCCCTGGATCATAATTTTTACAATTTAGGTAGAGGCACCCTTGCTCATCATAACCATGCATCTGTGTGCTATATACCCAGATGCAGAGAAGACTCTCAATGAATTAATTCATTTTCATTATATGATCAATAGGGCCCCATCCAAACACCAGAACACCTGCCCCTGCGGTCATGAATTTAATTATTGAGGTAGATGTACTCTTGCTCATCATAACCACGCACTTACTTTGTCTGCTTGATACCCAAGAACAGAGAAGATTTTCAAGGAATAAATGTACATAAATAAATCAATACAACCCTGCCCTAGCACCAGAACCCCAGACCCAGGGGTCGATGAGTTTTACATTTTGGAAAAGACACCCTTGCTTGTTATAACTGCACTTAGTTTGTCTGCTTAATATACAGGGGGACAGAAGAAGATTTTTAAAGAATTAATGCATTTTCACTACATGTATAAGATCAACAGAGCCCTACCCTATCACCAGAACTGCTTACCCTGGGACATTGAATTTCATAATTTTGGGGGTCTCAATACTTATTATAATCAAGCCAACAGTTTGACTGATTAATGTCCAGGAGTAAAGAAGAAGATATTTGAAAATGGCATTTTTAATGGTTTTGGCACCAGCCCTTCAAGCCCCAGGGAGGCCAGGACCATGAAATTCATAATTTTTGTTCCCCTTTGCCCATAGATGCTACATACTACTTATTTTTTAATTGGTTCAGCGATTCCAGAGAAGAAGCTGAAAATGTTCAAAAGTATGACTGACCCACAATCCAAACAGAAAGCAATTGGTCACTTGAGTGACTCAGGTGACCTGAAAAAGGCATAATATTTAGACAATTATGGGGGAATTACTGGGGGGATAAATTTAGAAAAAATAAAAATAAATTAATAAAAAAAATCCTTAAATATAGTTGTAATCTGATTCCAAACATTAGTAACATACCATGTTTTCAGGGAGGTTCATGCTACAAAAATTCAGCAGCACATTTCTCAGCACCTTTAAAAGTGAGATAAATTATTTTAGTACGTTTTTTTAAATAATACACTGTACATGAATAATGGCATTCAAAATTTAACCCCCCGCCCCCAAATCTCACTCCCTCTACAGTAAAAGCTGGTTATAGGGAAGTTACTTGGACTTCCAATTTTACTTCCATATAGCCCAACTTCTTTACATATGTATAAGAAACAAAGTGAAAAATCTGTTTTGGGATTTGTTAAAGGTTCCTGACAGGTTTCCGAGTTTTCCATATAAGCGAGTTCTTTATAACCAGGTTTTACTGTATTCATAAATTCATAACACTATAAACTAATATCTTAAATGTGTGAAAAATAGTCATAAAATCTGCTACCTTCTATCACTTGCAAATATCTTTCAGAAAATAGCAGTCACAACCTATGGGTGCTTTAAAAATGTTAATGTTTAAATCTGCAACATATGTTTTTTGAATTAGGAATCCAACTTACAAGAACATTCAGTGAAATAGAATTTTGATTGACTCATAACTTGAAATTGACAAATATCCATGCATGAGAGATAATTTCTAAAGAAATTTTTTTTGGATATTCCTGCATGATTTTCAATACTTGATTCAAATCCACTTGGATTGCCAATCAGATATTAATACACATATTTATAGTATAAACAGTTAAAATTAGATATGACAGATTAAAATTACACTTACTGTTTTATCCAATCTATGTTCTTCCATAGCATCCAACAATATCCAAATAACTCTCCTGAAATCACAAAATCTTCTTTGTACAAATCTTATTTGTTTGATCTTACAAAATCAGCAAAACTTTGTTATATAATGTATCCCAAAAATTGTCCATGCCTCCAGAAGCACTCCGTTACACATGTATCAAAGAAAAATAAGCACTGATTTTCTTACGATGTAAAAAAAAAATAATTAATTAAAAAAACATCACTTTCAATTAATTGTTCAAGCAGCTTGCAGAAAACATAATTATGTATATTTATGGGGGAAAATTCTTCCTCAAGGTGTTCTTAATGATGTTTAAATGTAAATCAACACTTTTGGACATACTGCATCAATCACTCACAGGCAAATCTACTAGGAGACTCCATTTTCTGAAGCTCTCAGCACTTACTACAGAGGATACATTATATAAAGTACATAGTGTTTGCCAGTTTTATTTACCTTCTCTGAAGCTGAGTGACTTTTTCTCTGTTCACTCCTTTAAGTATATAGAATAGTGCAGCACTGTAAACAAAATATATAAAACATTATTAAAATTTTAATCAACTACTGAAACAACATACATCATGACTTTTAATTGATATACTGTATACAGGGAAATTTTCACCCCTTTCACCCTACTCATATAGGTGGGCGAATTCAAAAAACACAGAATCATTTCTTAAACAGAACTGTAACTGAGCGAATTTAAAATGGGGCAAAATTGTTTGCAAGTGCGAAAGGGTGAAAATAACATGGGCGAAAACATCCCTGTATACAGTACCTTATTTTTATATGTTTATTGTTTTATAAAATATACTTATTCAAATACCCCCTTTTCCTAAAATTAAATTTTACTATTCTATTATCTCAAAAATTAAATTTTGCTATTCTATGTCTTAATACTTTTTTTTTAACATTATAAATGTTCCGTCACTATTTTCCTATAATCTCTTGTAGTATTTAAAGTGATTATGTGTCCTGTGTATAACTACACATACATGTATGTATCTTCATATTTTTTACATCAATCAGAACTGAGCAGTCCTATTAATCACTATATCAGGTGCAAATACACAAATTACACGAGACACATTGAATTAAACTGTTGTCTAGTTCCTGCAGTATTATAACTAAATACTATGACATCCATCATTCAAACATTCAACAAATGAGACATGCTGATATGTCAAATGATTTGTACAGTGAAACCTGTGTAGTCCGACATGCACTGGGAGACAAATTTTGTGTCAAAATAGACAGGGTGTCGGATTACACAGCATAAAAACATTGAAAAATAATAAATTGGGAATGAAAATGTCAGAATTCACAGTGAAAATGGGATTGCACAGGTGAGAGACAGTTTTTACTGTATTTACACAGTATACAGTAGTCAACATGACTACTTTTCATGTACTAACCTTCCAGATATCTGGACCTGCTTATTTTTCCAGTTATGCTTCATCCCAGCTA